TAAAATAAGATAGAAGGAATAACTTTTTCTGTCTTTTTATATGAATATACGCAGGATTACAATGCGACGGTGGAATTTTACTGGGCTCCATTTCTAGTGGAGTCAAACTCAGATAATCCAAATATGCATAGCATCTTGAACAGAATCATCATGCCTGAATCTATCGACAAGCATGGCAACAACTGGAAGAATGTTGACTATCTCCTCTTCAACACATACATTTGGTGGATGAACACTTTTTCTATGAAAATTTTGTAAGTAAAATAATTCATATTATACCAAACAAATTTAAAATTCCAGATTTCAAAACATGGATATTAATTATTGTGTGATTTTGTGTTTCCTACCTAACAGACGAGGATCGTTCGATGAAGGAGCAACAGAATACGATGAGATAGATAGACCAACAGCTTATAAAAGAGTGTTGACCACTTGGTCCCAATGGGTCGATAAAAATATAGATCCCAATCGCACCCAAGTCTTCTTCATGAGCATGTCTCCTCTTCATATCAAGTAAAATAAATCCATTTTTTTCTTTTGAATCTTCGTTGACATTAACTATAAAATAAACTAATTCGTTATTTAAACAGGAGCTTAGATTGGGAAAATCCTGATGGAATAAAATGTGCAAAAGAGACAGCCCCAATACTGAACACATCAATGCCGCTAAATGTTGGAACAGATAAAAGGTTGTTTGTGATAGCAGCAAATGTGACTAGATCCATCAACGTTCCAGTATACTTTCTCAACATTACAACATTATCAGAGTATAGAAAAGATGCACACACATCAGTTCACACAATTCGTCAAGGCAAAATGCTAACGCCTGAACAACAGGCTGATCCTGCAACTTATGCCGATTGTATACATTGGTGCCTCCCTGGATTACCCGATACTTGGAATGAGTTCCTTTATTCGCGCATTATTTCACGTTCTTGACACTTTGTCCCTTCTTCATTTGTGGAAATTCAGAGACTAGAATAGGAAAACTTTTTCTTGCCTTTCATTCACTTATCAATGGTGTATATATACAAAATATCTAGAAGAAGAAAACAAAATAACTCCTATACGTGTATGAATTCTAATTGGCTATCACTACACTACAAAAATATACAGCTGTGTGTACTATTTCGTACGAGAAATACACAAATCCGTTACATAGGAATCTGCATATTTCTTGCCTAATTTTCATCCATTTGTCCAAATCATCTCTCAAATAAGGCTGTCTGGAATTGAATTGTGGGCCTTCATTTGTTGTTGGGCTGAGACATTAACTTTTGGTTGAAAGTTTTGCATTTTGACCAGCTGAGATATAGACCCAATATTGTCTCTGAATTTCGTTTGATTGAGAAGCTTTCCAGTAGTCAGAACTTGAACTTTCTTAGCTTCTTTCTCCTCTTCACTGACTTTCTTGATTTCAATTCCAACATCCCCCCGCAAGTTGGAGGGGAGTGAAGAGATCCCCAACTTGCCGAGAATTGAACGATGAGAGGGTCCTGATAAAGGTTTGGTGAAGAGATCAGCAAGCTGAGAGGAAGAGGGTACAAATTGAAGAGATATCAACCCCGAGAGAAATTGTTGCCTAACAAAATGGCAATCAATTTCTACGTGTTTGGTTCTTTCATGAAAAAGTGGATTGCGGGCAATGTGAATGGCGGCCTGGCTATCAGAGTGAAGGGGAATCAGAACTGAGGGAGAGGCCCCAAGGTCTGTGAGTAATCGAGTAAGCCAAGTAATTTCAGAGACTACTCTTCTCATGGATCTGTACTCTGCTTCAGCGGAAGACAGAGAAACAGAAGCTTGTTTCTTCGATTTCCATGAGATTGGTGAGCCTCCGAGACTAATGAAGAATCCACTAATGGATTTACGAGAATTGGGGCAAGACCCCCAATCTGCATCGCAGAAAGCTAGTAATTTGAATGAAGGATCAGCAGATAAGAATAACCCTTGGCTTGGATTTGAACGAAGATACCGCAATACTCTTAATGCGGCTGCAAAGTGAGGACCTCTTGGTTGCTGCATGTACTGACTGAGATGATGTACAACAAATGAGAGATCTGGTCTAGTGTGAGTGAGATAGTTGAGCTTACCAAGCAGCCTCCGATATGAAGTTGGATCAGTGATCAACTCACCAGTGGAGAAATCTAGTTTGGAAGAAGGATCGAGTGGAGAAGTCACAAGAGGTAAATGATCACAATTGAACTCATTCAAAAGTTCTAGAGTAAACTTTCTTTGCTTACAATCATACCTGTTGGTTCTCTTACAATTTCAAGACCTAACAAATAGTATAGATCACCCAAATCCTTAATCTTGAATTGTGAATTCAAGAATTCCTTTAGATGTTGTAGCTCGGCTCTGTTGTTTCCTGTTAGAATAATATCATCAACATACACTGCGACGATACAAATATGAGAACCTAATATTTTGAAGAAAAGTGAATAATCATTCAGTGATGAAGAAAACCCTTTTGAATTCAAAGTTTCTGCCAATTTTGAGTACCATTGTCTTGAAGCTTGTCTAAGTCCATACAAGAACTTTTTGAGCCTGCATACATGTTGCGGATTGACTGATTGCATTCCATTTGGAAACTTCATGAAAATCTCCTCATCAAGTTCTCCATGTAAAAATGCATTATTCACATCCATTTGTGAAATTTCCCAACCTTTTTTCACTGCTATAGTCAACAAGCACCTGATAGTTGTCATTTTGACAATCGGTGAAAAGGTCTCATTAAAGTCAATCCCTTCCTTTTGAATGTCTCCTCTAATCACCAATCCTGCTTTTAGCCTTTCTATACTTCCATCAGAGTTGTGCTTGATCTTATACACCCATTTGGATGGTAAAGCTTTCCTTCCTTTTGGTAATTCTACTACTTCCCAGGTTTTATTCTCAATTAGTGCTGCAATTTCAGTCTCCATAGCTAGTTTCCACCCGGGATGTAGTTCTGCTTGGGCATAGGAAGTTAGTACTGTGATATTAGAAATATAGTTTAAAACTTGTTGGTTTGAGGTCGAGAGGCTAGCAAAGGAATAACTTTTAGGGACAACGGGATGACTGAAATAGGTTTCAGTTAAATTTGCTAGAAAAACAGCATTGCACACATATTCTTCTAAGTATGCAGGTCTGTTGTGTGTTCTGTCCGACCTTCTTGGGATGATGGTGGAGGTTGAAGTATTTGTCTCTAATGTGTCAGGCAAAGTCACAGTCTCCAGATTATCTTGTGTGGATCCTGTATCAACATGTTGTGGGGCAAGATATGTCTCTGGATGTGATAGGTTAGGAAAAGCACTCACATTGTCATGTTGGGAATCCTGAAGTATGGAAGTATCTTTAGCGAATATAGGAGTTGAAGATGTAGGCTGGGAGGTTGAAACAGTAGAAAATGGATATGTATTTTCATGAAACTTGACATTTCTAGAGACTATGATTTTTCTAGTTTTCAAGTCAAGCACCATATATCCCTTCTTTCCATAGGGATAACCTATGAAGACACAAGGAATAGATCTAGGCTCAAACTTTCCCCTGTTATGTGAAATTGTGGCAGCATAACATAGACACCCAAAACTTCTAAGAGAGGAATAGTTAGGGGGCTTTCCAAATAATATCTCATAGGGTGTCTTGTTTTTGAGAATTCTTGAGGGATACCTATTTATTAAGTATGTTGCGGTCAACAAACACTCTGTCCAATAAGAAATAGGCAGTTTTGACTGATGAAGTAAGGCCCTAGATACCTCTAACAGATGTCTGTGCTTTCTCTCCACAACACCATTTTGCTGTGGAGTGTGAGTACACGAAGTTTGATGAATGATTCCTTGTGATGCAAAAAATTCAGATGATAGATTGCTTCCACCCAATGCTAGTGCATTATCTGATCTAATCATCTTAACCTTGATATTAAACTGTCTTTCAATTATCACAAGAAAATACTTTAGGATAGTGAAAGCATTGCCCTTTGTTTTCAAAAGATAAGTCCAGGTTGATCTACTATAGTCATCCACCATAGTTAAAAAATATTTGTATCCATCATGTGAAGGGGTTTTGTAGGGACCCCAAGTGTCAATATGTATCAATTCAAAGATCTTCTTAGTACTAATCTCACTAGACTGGAAAGGGAATTTTGTTTGTCTAGCTAAATGACAGATATTGCAATCAGAATGAAAATGAAGAGGAGAAACAAGAGTTGAACAAACATTTTTCATTGATTGAAATGGCATATGCCCTAATCTAAGGTGCCATAGCCTTACATCAGAACTACTTTTTATAGGAATGGGAAAAATACTAGAAACAGAAAGACAACTAGAATGCTCTTGTTCAGATAAATTAATTGCTCTACCATCGAAACTCTTAAGATATTGGAAGCTTGACTCTAAGAGATATAGACCTGTCCTCACTTCACCAAATTCCAGAGGCCTCTTCATTGAAGGGCCCTGCAGAAAACAACCAAAAGAAGAAAAAATGAGTAAACAACTTAATTGTTTGCACAACTTATAGACTGAAATGAGGTTATATTCGAAACAAGGAATAAACAATACATCCTTTAAGATGAGTTTAGGATGCAAAGAGATACTTCCATATTGAGTGACCTTGACCTTATAAGAATTAGGAAGATCAACAAAGATAGGAGACTCAAGAGTTCTAAGTTCTAAGAAGATCTTTGAATCAAAACACATGTGTTGTGTAGCTCCTGAATCTAGTATCCAGGTTTGGTGTTTGAACTGGACAAATTTATGAGGTGATTTGAAAACATTACCAGCACAGGTCACTGCATTAGTTGCTGCATCACATGGTGATTCTTCTGGTTGATTCATTTGCACATTCTGAAGCATCTGAATGAGTTATGAGCATTGATCTTTGGTGAAATGTTTCCCTTGCCCTTCTCCATCAAAATACGCTCCATTTTGTTCTTGTGTTCCTTCCATGAAGACAACATTGCTCTTCACATTTCCCTCAATTCTCTTTGCTTTGGTAAACTTGAAGTCACTGGGAAAGCCTATTAACCTTTAGCATTTATCCACAGAATGCCCAGGTTTCTTACCGTTTGAGCACACCAAATTGGTTTTCTTCTGTTTGGCTTCATAATATCCAGACTTCTGACCAAGAGTGGTCTGATTAGTGGCCAAGAAGGAAGTAGAGTTCCCTGGATAGTGTGAGCTCATATACACTTCCCTCTGTTTCTCATCTTGCATTAAGAGTGAGTAAGCATGATTCACATAGGGTAATGGTGAGAGCATCAGAATATTGCTTTTCCTAGCTGCATAGACATCATTTAAACCCATTAGAAACTGAATCAATCTTTCATCTTGAAGAGACTTAGCCATTTTTGCTTTTCCACCACACTGGCAGTCACATGTGCAGTTGACAGAAGTGCTCAGAGCATCAAGCTCATCCCACAACCTCTTGATTTTTGTGAAATACCCAGCAATATCATTTGATCCCTGCACTAAATCACTCAACTCCTTTTGTAGGTGATAGAGTTGAGCACCATTACTTTGCCCAAACCTGTTCTCAAGTTCCTGCCAGAGATCTTTGGCTGTTTTGGAGTAGATGACACTGTCAGCTATCTCTTTTGAGAGAGAGTTGAGCAACCATGACAACACCATGTCATTGCACCTGCTCCATAGTTTGAAATCAGCTGAAGTAGGAGCTAGTTCCTTTTGAGTACCATCAATGAACCCAATCTTATTTTTTGCTGAAAGGGCTATCAAGATTGACCTCTTCCATCCCCCATATCCCTTTCCATTGAAGGGTGAGTTGACAAGGTTCATTCCTGGGGAATCAGAAGCATGAAGAAAGAAAGGATGAGTGTGATCTGATAGAGGGTTTGAGGTATTTCTAGTTGTTTGAGTGTTTTCAGGAGTCACTACAGTTTCTGTCACCATTGTTGGACAGTAAAAAAAAGGAGAATAGTGAGAAAAATGGAAAAGAAAAACTAACAGAGAAAGAGGATCTCAGATTTGCTCTGATACCATGTGGAAATTCAGAGACTAGAATAGGAAAACTTTTTCTTGCCTTTCATTCATTTATCAATGGTGTATATATACAAAATATCTAGAAGAAGAAAACAAAATAACTCCTATACGTGTATGAATTCTAATTGGCTATCACTACACTACAAAAATATACAACTGTGTGTACTATTTCGTACGAGAAATACACAAATCCGTTACATAGGAATCTGCATATTTCTTGTCTAATTTTCATCCATTTGTCCTCATTTATTTGTCCAAATCATCTCTCAAATAAGGTTGTCTGGAATTGAATTTTGGGCCTTCATTTGTTGTTGGGTTGAGACATTAACTTTTGGTTGAAAGTTTTGCATTTGGACCAACTGAGATATAGACCCAATATTGTCTCTGAATTTCATTTGATTGAGAAGCTTTCCAGTAATCAGAACTTGAGCTTTCTTAGCTTCTTTCTCCTCTTCACTGACTTTCTTGATTTCAATTCCAACATCATTGTGCAGTTCTTACAACAATTTTTTCTTTTTTTAAACCTTCACTCACAATATATTTTTTGTGTAATTTCAGTCACTGTTAATTAGAAAAGCGAAAGGAAAATCTAGTAGCTATCCTTCCTTAGGTTGGGCTATATATTATCATTTGGCCTATGAAATTCGAGAAACTGTCCATTGAGCGAAAACTGAAGCGGACATTATATGTTCTATGACTAGTTATATAGTGAAATTATCTCCAACGAAAATAAATAAGCAAACCAACATTTAAATAATCAAGTTATTTGAGAATTTATGCAGGAAAGTAAATTATGGAATATAAATCAACACAATATTTTTACTTAGAAAACTTTTTTTGCTCAGGAGAGTAAAAAACTGCGACCTACCACTTGTAGGACTTTCCCAAACTTTCCACTAAACTCGAGCCCAACTACCTTTGTAACACTAAAGAAACATTTCCAACTGTTCTGCCTCTACCCTCTTCTTACTTCAATGAATTTCCTTACAATAAACAAGATCACACCTATTACAATCTATGAATGTAATCAAGATTCTGTCTTGAAACTAATAACGACTGAATATTCTTCCTACGTTTTAGCTTATTCGTGTTTAGTTGTTTTTCCAATTTCTAGAATTAGAGTCCATCTCAATCACTTCATTATCCTATTTTATCTCTTATTGTTATCATATACAGACTTTGTATATATTAAGATTTTGTATCAGCTGGGCATAACCCTTTGTATACCGCACAACATAAATTAATAAAAACACATCGACTCATTCTCTAATATCGCCTTACTCTTTATGGTATCAGAACATCTATAACTCTCACGAGTACTTTCTCTGTTCTTCACGTTGAAATGGCCCCCAATGTTTCTGTAGTCAATTCTGATGCTAACAACAATGCCATGATTGCCCAGTTGAATTCTGTCACGCAATTGCCAATCAAATTAGCTGGCAACTACAACTTCTCTCTGAGGAAAGGTCAAGTATCGATGCTTATGAGTGACCACAATACCTATGTCCATCTCGATGGATCCATTCCTCCCCCCTCCCCCCCCCCCCCCCACTTTCTCTCAAAATAATCAAGATATCAAAAATCCTGTTTTCTTGTTTGGTTTAGTCAAGATCAGTTGATCCAAAATGCTATCTTAGCCTCTGTTGAACTAACTCTTGCTGCCACTGTAGCCGCTGGTGACTCTGCCAAAGCTGCCTGGGACGTTCTGCATAGTCCTTATGCAAACAAGTCTCAAACAAGAATTTTTAGTTTGTGTGACCAACTGGCCCCAATAACCAAATACATTCGTCCTGTTGCTGATTATCTCCATCAAGTTAGATCATTGTGTGATGAACTTGCAACTGCCGGAGCACCTGTATCTAATCCAGAACTCATTGTTAAAATTCTTACTGGACGTGGATCTGAATTCGTGAACTTTCTGTCGCTATTCGTGCAAGAGATTCCACAAATCCCATACAAAGAATTGTATGAAAAGTTGCTAGACCATGAACTTTTCCTCAAGCATGAAGAGGCTAGGAAACCACAGCCGCCTACAATCACCGCTGCCATAGCACAATGAACATCTACAACTCCTCCTCGGAACAACGCCAATTATAACAATAGGCATCAAGGTAACAATGCTGCCAGTAATCAACCATTGCGTCCATGCAAAAATCAATCACAACCAGATAGCAACCTTCGTTGCCAACTTTGTGATCGTCCAGGACACTCAGCCAAAGTCTGTCGTTCTCAGTCGCACAACCATCTGCAAGCTTGAGCCAACTTTGTTTTTCTCTTTAACCAATAACAAGCACCTTGGATAGTTGATAGTGGGGCGACTCATCACCTTGCTTCTGATTATCAGAGTTTAGCTACTATGTATGATTACTGCGGTCCTGAAGAGATAGCAATGGGAAACAGTAACACCATCCTAATTACTCATACCGATAACACTAACATAAGTGCATCAAACTATGATTTCAAACTACTTGACACTTTATGTTCTCCTGCCATAAAAATCAACCTTATTTCTATTTTTAAATTTTGTCAAGATAATCTGACATCTATTGAATTTTTTTCTTTTCATTATTCTGTGAAGGATCTGAGTACGGGGGTACCTCTACTATGCGGGGTGAACATAGATGGGCTGTATGAGTGGCCGCCGGGCAGCACACAAAAGTCTCCTAAGTGTAATGTAGTTGTTCCTCTCAACCTATGGCATCGACGCTTAGGACATCCTAATCAACATGTTTTGAATACAATTCTGCATAAGTTTTCCATTCCCTTTTCTCGTTCTAGAACAATTTCAAGTTGTAATTCATGTTATTCAAATAAAATGCACATGTTGCAATTTTCTGAAAACTCTATGCAAAGTCAAAGGCCCTTACATGATTTATGGGTCCTTCACCTGTTTTGTCAATTGATAAAAAAGATATTATGTTTTATTTGTTGATTAGTTCTCTAAATACATGTGGTTGTTCACTCTCAAATCTAAAAAGGAAATTCTGGACATTTTCCAACCTTTACCTCCATTGCTTGAAAAAAGATTTCAAACAAAAAATTTATCCTTGTACACTGATGGTGGTGGTGAATTTCAAAGTTTGTCATCTTATATAAAAACACATGGTATTGAACACTTAGTCTCGCCTCCATACACACCACACCGAGTAACTCTGGTTGAACGCCGACATAGACATGTTACTGAGACAGCTAGAACTTTATTACATCAAGCTTCGTTACCAACATCCTTTTGAAGTTTTTCTTGTCATCAAGCAATCTATCTTATAAATAGACTGACCACTCCAATTTTAAAAGATAAGTGTCCATATGAGATTCTATTTCAAGATGCACCCAAATATGATTCCATTAAGGTTTTTGATTTGTCTATGTTATCCCTGGCTTACACCTTATGCTAAGAACAAAGTAGACCCTCGTTCAACTCCATGTGTTTATTTAGGATTTTCGAATAAATATTATTGCCCTCAATGTTTTGATCTAGTAAAGTCCAAAGTTTATTTGTCTAGAGATGTTCTATTTTTAGAAGACAATTTTCCTTTCGAAAATTTATTTTCGAACTTGAAAAATAAAAACAAAGTAGATTTATCTTGGGAAAACTGTTTTGTAGAACAACCTTTAAAGGATAAATCTTTGGATTCAAATGTTTTTCAACAACTTCCAGATCCAATTGTGCCACTGCCCACACGATCACACTCGCCCTCCTCTGCAACCCATGGCGCCTCCATCGACTTGGGTAATTCTCCTATTCAAATTAAGCCATCAATGCCTTAAGTTTCAGCACCACAAAGTCTCATTCTCCCCTCAAACCCAACACACCTAACCCGTTAGACTTTGAACCTCCCCCAAACCGCCCCTTACTCACTTACCATCGCCGAACCCCTCACCTCCAATCTTCCACACACACACACTTCACCACCCCACCCCCTCAATTTACAACCCACGGTGATTTCCAACCAATCTTCCCCAAAAGTTCCAGTGACCACCAAACCACTTCTACATCCCGTGGTCACACGTTCTAAGACCAATAGTCTTAAACCAATATAATTCAATGTCACCATACAATCCTCTCCGTTTGTCATACCTAGAACATATAGACAAGCCCACCCCCATCCTCATTGGAAAACAACAATGAAATCTGAGATTGATGCTCTAGTTAGGAACCGAATATGGGAATTGGTTCCTTTCAATCCATCGATGAATGTGGTTGATTGTACATGGTTATTTCGTATAAAGCATCATCCTGATGGTTCGATTGACTGGTTAAGGCTAGTCTGATTGCCAAAGGATTAACACAACACCCGGATCTAGCCTATCATTCAATGTTCAGCTCGGTGGTCAAGCCAACTATTGTCCGTTTAGTTCTTTCTATTGCTACCCAACACAACTGGCTCATCCATCAACTAGATGTGAACAATGCATTTCTTTAAAGTCGACTAGAGAAAGAGGTTTATATGTGACAACCACCTGGTTCTGAGAATCCACATCACTCCTCGCATGTGTGGAAGCTCAACAAAGCCATTTATGGCTTGAAACAAACACCACGTGCATGGTACACTAAGCTCAAGAATTATTTGGTAACTACACGGTTTGTGAAGTCTCAATCAGATTCCTCTTTGTTTATTTTACACAATTCTGCCTTTACCATTTATGTGCTTGTTTATGCGGATGAAATAATCATCATTGATAATCAGTCTCGAGGTATAAAACATACTATTGATGGTCTCTCTCATCGGTTTTCATTAAAGGATCTTGGTCTTTTACACTATTTTCTGGGTATTGAAGTTCTCCCACACTCTGAAGGCTTGTTTCTGTCACATCACAAATATACTTTGGATTTGTTACATGATGTTGGTATGCAGGACAACAAAGGAGCTCCAACACGAATGACTTTCATGACCTTTCTTATTGCCTCT